GAGATGTTCAGCTGATAAGCTAGGTCTTGAAAAGGAACATTCAATCTCAACTTTATCAGGACCATAACAAATTCTTTAAAAGGACTCAGTGTTTTGGAGCGACGAGAAGCAGACGGTGACACGAGTTCAAACACAAAGTTCAGGATTTCATAAGAAGGAAGGCCAATATAAAGTAGTACTTTATTGTCGCTATTCCTAAAATACTCTTCGCCAAAGTCAGTTACTTTCTTATTTGTATTAAATAAATAATCAAACTCGTCAGTCTGTGAAGAGGCATCATAAGACTTAAGCTTAGGAGTACGTGTCAAAACTTCGGTCTGAGTACTCATCTCGTCAAAGCTTTTGACCTCGGCCTGACGGCATTTATCATTTTCACCAAGCTCTTGATCTCCATACAACAAGACAAATTCTTCTGTTGTTGTATCTAAATCGTCGCTTGTAGATGTAAACAAGATATTGGAAACTTGGGTTCCTTCGTCATTCAACCGAAGTCTATTCTCTTTGATCATCGTTTTTGCTTCGTTAAGCTTCTTCTTCCTCCTAACTTTAGCTCTCTCTGCTCGTTCCTATACTGCTTTCCCCATGTCTTCTGCCTTCCTTTTTGTGTGTCTAAGGTTAAGTGTTGGCACCCAGTCAACGTTGTATTTATCCCAGGGTTTTGCTGGATGACTGGAGACAAAATGGCGACTTCAAACACGGTCGTTTTTTAAGATTTGTTCAGTCAAGTCATCTCTGCTTATAGCTGTGATCAACTTCGTTGAAGCTCTTCAGCTTCTTCACCATTCTTTTTATCAATAACCGGCACTCTGAAGAAGGAAACATCTCTGTCTCGACCACTTCTTGCGTGGCAATCCACAAATAAACACAAAACCATTTGTACACTACTTTAGACCACGAGCTCTTTGAGCGTTTGTTTGTACACCAATATGGCAGATAGCAACGGTTGTCAAAGCTTTGGTTACATGAGTGAAAACCGAGAATTTGACAACCACTTGTTCCTTGCTTGCTAACCACTCTACGAGAGAGAATTGTGAGTTCCTTAAAAATATGCTCTTCTTTTATACATCTGAGATCTATTGTCTTTGAATTCTACCTGTTCATTGGTTACAGACTGTAGAACTTTGATCCTGCATGATTTAGCAAAATCTTCTCATTGGCTACAACCTTTCGAATATTTTTTAGTTCTATAGAGATTAGGGCAGCCTTGGACAGCCTTCATGTAATCCCCTAGAGGTTAGGGCTGCCTTGGGCAGCCTCAGGCAGCCTTGAACAGCCATCTTTGTCAGCTATCTTACACTGTGCATGCGTAAAGTGTTTTAACATCTCCCACGTGGATGGGAACTGAGGTCTTAGCGTAGATATATATTTCATCATGACCATACACACATTACATGAACATATAAATACACGATATATTCCTCTGAGGGAATATGTGATTTAATAGAGTTCCTTCGATCCTTTTGACAGCGCATCCCTGAGAAATAGACGTTCCCATGTAAGGACTGACCCACAACGATGAACCAGTTTCTTTGGTATAAAGAATGTTTAAAACAAAGGGGCATTTAAAGCTCAGGAAAACGTAAGGTTGAACTGAGGAAAGTGAGGAGATGGAAGTCCTGAAAATTGCTGAAGAGGAAGCACCAATCAATCCAAGAATTTCTATGAAAGAGCAACTGCAAACTGATGAGGGAGAATGTGATAACGAAAATCGTGTTTTTTCCCAATGAACCAAAAACTTTACTAACGTACAGGACTTTGGATTCCCCGAACTCTTTAATTACTTGGTGGGAAAAGACAACGTGTACAACAGCGAAGGCCTAAAAAGTTACAAATCCCTATTGGGGTACAAATTATTTTTTGATGGACATATGGAAGAACTTTGCTATCACCCACCTCAACCCAATAGTAATTACAGTTATTTTAAGTTTGCTGTAGAGCCAACTGAAAAATCCAAGACTGATGATGGTTCAGCAACATACAGAGGGTTTTTCATTTTAAAAAAGGATGGAAGTGTCAATTAAGACTACTGCTTATGGAAAGGAGGGTATGCATTCTCTACTTTTGATTTCTGGAGCCTGTCTATGCGCTTGATATTCCATAAACATACGTTTGAGAATCAAAACGTTTGGTCTTTTCTGTTGTTTTTCTCTGTGACAGGTTTTGTTTTATTCAGTTTTATTATATTTCCCATGTAGAAGTTGTAACATGAGTAAAAAGTAGATGCCTCCTGAATTGAAGATCTAAATCAATGGATCCATTATTTTAAATCTCAAACCTTCTGGATCATTTATGACCTCAGCACTAAGTATTAAAACAGTAGTTCAAAGTCAGAATCTGTGAGCCTAGTTACTGACCTTATTGGCTACTATACAGTCTATCAGTGTGAACAATTAGTTATATTGGTTCTCCTTTAAACAGGAGAGATGGAGGTTGCTGGCACATAGCTGCAGCATTGTTTGATCTAGAAGCAAACGTGAGATTCAATGATCTCCAATCATGTACATCAGGGCAGTGCATGTGGAAAAAGAGAGGAAAGAGAAATGAGAAAAGTTTGCCCATTCAGGACCTCCAAATGAGTGGTAGTTACGGTGTGACATTGAAAGACCCAATTCACCCAAGAGATTTTAATGCAGTGTGTATTCCTTATAATGTGACTGAACTGGAACAAGATTTTAAGACTGGGTTGCTGGAACTTGTCCTAGCTCTTCAGCTCTGCCTTTTTTATCTTCAATTAAAGGACCCAGTCAAACAGAGAAAGTAGTCAGAGCTTTTATCAGCAGTGATGTTAATGTCTGTAAAGAAGAAAGTGTTCAAAGTGTGCCTGTATATTCAATGAATGATAATGCCAAAGTGTTTGTTTCGTTTATTACTGAAAAAAAGATGCCTACAGTTTCTAACGAACTTGCAATTGAATTCCTTGAGTCTATTCCATTTAATGAGGAGCAAGCAGAAATTATCAACAAGAAAACTGTCTATCAATCACAGTCTCAATTTTGGTTTGATCAAAGGGCTGGAAGAATTATAGTTTCCTAATTTTACACTGTGCCACCTCAGAAAGAGCACAGACAGAAGAAACACTATTAAACATCTCATGAATTACTGTCCAATAGCTGAAGATGCCGTGCCATGACAGATGACATGGGGGCGTGAAAAAGATAGCGAACTGATATATTGACTGACTACTGGTTGATGCATCGGCCGATATGTAGCGATCAACTGCCGGTGAAGTATCGGTCAAGCGTCGGTCAGGCGTCGGTCAGGCGTCGGTCAGGTGTCGGTCAGACGTCGGTCAGGCGTCGGTCAGGCGTCGGTCAGGCGTCGGTCAGGCGTCGGTCAGGCGTCGGTCAGGCGTCGGTCAGGCGTCGGTCAGGCGTCGGTCAGGCGTTGGTCAGGCGTCGGTCAAGCGTCGGTCAAGTATCCGCCAAGTATAGGTTCACTTACTGACCATATCACTCAGAAGAAAATAGGCTAAGAAAGAGTGTGAGGTTTTTTCGATATATGTTCCGATTTGGTGGTGGAAACATACATTGTAAAGTTGGTCACTCTTGTGTAATTAATGTTGTACCTTAACGTATTTCCATTATTCGTAAAACTACCTGGCTTATGCTTTATCCCTGATGCCATGCTGCCCTTAATCCAACATACCTAAAATGATTATTATTCCTTAGCTCTTATAGCTCTAACAGGTCCTCAACGTTATATTGCTTGTACAATGTTACCAATATTTACTGTCCAGTTTATGTCGGTAATGGGATCCACCTAAATTGTATCAGCTAAAATTGCAGTGTGTAACTGCCCAGCTAAACGAAAAGTAAATGATCTTTTGAAACTGAACTAGGCGGTTAAGCTCATAAGCAAAGCGATTTTATAAAGACTTCTTTTTGCAGTGCGAAGTCAGCCGTTGTTTGTTTGTTTTTTCATTATTGTTATTTTACCTAGAATAGGGCGTCTTTTTGGGGGTTTGGGCCTTTACAACGGTATCAATTTTTTTTATCCTTAAATGGGGAACTCCGCGGCACCCACCTATCGGAAATACAGTACTAATCTGCTTATAAGAAACTAGAATTCACGAACCTGTTAGCCTAAAAATATCAATTTATTTATTAGTTTGACTATAAAAATCTCTGAAAAACGGTAGTATGTACATGTTGGTTTTGAATTAGAATTCACATGAGTACATCCTACGAGTACATTTAGAACTTAGAACTGAGAATCAGATTCTTATAAGCGGGTATACTAAAACGAAATCAAGTCTGCAATGAATATCTGGTTGTCTTTGCCTCCAGATAAACCTCTTGCCATTTGGATTTAAAATTTTCCAAACATCGCATAGCTCCAAATTTTCCATCGCATTTTGCACCACCTTTAAAGCATTCTGATGTAATCTGGCAATGCCATTTTTTCAGAGAAAATTGAGAGAGTCAAAAACATCCTAAGCAGCTGGTCTGCTTGGAGACTTACTTTTCTAGGTAAAATCACGATAATAAAAGCTTTGGCAGTATCCCAAATTGTACATGTTTTAACCTCTCTTCCAACGCATCAGGGTGCACTTAAGGATATCAATACCCTGCTATATGACTTTCTCTAGGAAAGGATAGGGGAAAAAATTAAAAGGACACAAATGACCAATGATGACCATAAAGGAGGCCTCAAGATGATAGATATTCAAAGCTTTAATAAATTGCTAAACAAAAAGTGGATAAATGGAAACTTCTCGTAGACTTCCACCTCCAGAAGTGTAGGGGGAAAGTAATGTTTTCAAAGTGCAACTACGATCAAGCTGTCGATATCCATTTTTTATAATTTCGTATAAAATATGACTGTCTAAAATACCTTGCTAAACATCAATCCATTATGACTAACAGAAATCTTTTTTTTATTTGTATTTTTATTTCCGAGAAGTTGCAGTTGCCATTTCTTTATCTCGTTCCAATTATAGCCTGGTTGAGAATGAGGGAAAATGACGTCAAATGCTCAAAATAACTCGAGTGTGCTAGACTATTGCAATGTTTGAATTTATTACAGGTACAGTAAAAAACCCCTTTTTAAGAACCTAGATTTTAAGAAAAAAATAGATTAACTGAAAATGTTAGACAAAAATTGTACATTAAAACTCCTTTTACACGAGAACCTGTTTTAGCCTACAACTTTGAAACAGGTTCTTTTTTTGAGAAATTCAACAACACAGTTCCATGTATTAATGTTGTGTTTTGTTCTGTTTATCTCGGATAGCTTTGTAAACTTGGTAAATATATGCTTGGATTTTTAACATATTATGCATACAATACCAAAAATAGGACATGCCCTCCAATGACAAACAACTCATTTATTTTGAAAACTAGACTGCGAGCAGTGGGTGCGATCGACGAGCGGTAAGCGGCCAAGCTGCGATCTCTTTTCGCTGTGACTGGCGCCCCTGCTGCTCGCAAATCACGGCTTTGCCCCTCATCGCTCGTCGATCACGTCCGCTTTTTCCCCGTTCGTTCCAGTGGGATTTCACAGCAAAAGA